CTTCCGGTCTCGGCCCCTCACTACCCCGCAGGCACACCGGCGCCCGGTCCGCACCCAGCCCCGGGAGAGCTGCCCCCGGGGCCCGGCGGGCCCTCGGTCATCCACTCTCCGCCGCCACCGCCGCCGCCTGCGGTGCTTGTCAAGCCCAAACTGTGGTCTCTGGCAGAGATCGCCACATCCTCGGACAAGGTCAAGGACGGGGGCGCAGGGAGCGAGGGCTCTCCGTGCCCACCGTGCCCCGGGCCTGTAGCTGGGCAAGCCCTAGGAGGCAGCCGCGCGTCGCCGGCCCCGGCGCCGTCGCGCTCGCCCTCTGGGCAGTGTCCTTTCCCGGGCGGGACGGTGCTGTCCCGGCCTCTCTACTATACCGCGCCCTTCTATCCTGGCTACACGAACTATGGTTCCTTCGGACACCTTCACGGCCACCCAGGGCCAGGGCCAGGGCCCACCACCGGCCCGGGCTCTCATTTCAATGGATTAAATCAAACCGTGTTGAACCGAGCGGACGCTTTGGCTAAAGACCCGAAAATGTTGCGGAGCCCGTCTCAGCTAGACCTGTGCAAAGACTCTCCCTATGAATTGAAGAAAGGTATGTCCGACATTTAACGCGGGCTGCGTGGGTCCTGGACTTTTCTAATTTATTAAAAACATGGCCTTGGGAGTTATTTTTCCATCATCAAGAGAGAAAGAGAAAAAAAAATTAACTACCCCTCCTATCAAAAGTTTATAGTTTATGGAGATGGATGACATAAAAATGTAAACATCTCCACACACAAAAATGTCTTAACCAACCGAAAAGAAAAAAATTTAAAAAGGATTTGTATTAAATCTTATTCTGTATATTTAATGTAGCATTTTTGTATTTAAATTGATAATTCAATATCTTTGAAGTAAATTATGAAATCAAGACACCTGTACAGGCATTTAATGTTTTTTTGTAATATAAATATATACATTTGTGTTTCCCCAAAAAACTGTTTCATAGTTTAAAATACAAGTTTAATTTAATTTTTTTACACCTATTGATTTTCCCAGGTATGAGCTAAAGTATTATTACAGAAAGGAAACAGGTTATACTCCTAGATTTAAAAAGTAAAAGAAATGACAGCCGCCTTTGTAAAATGCAAAATATTTAATTAAAAGAGATTTTAACATAATCAGAGCCACTGATTACTTTTTAGAAGCCTCAATAAACTGTCCATTGCCTTGGTGAAAAGGCACAAACTGCAACTTTTTTTCCCTCCCCGAAGTGGGGAATGAAAGGTTCCACACAGACCATCAGTGTGCCTGGGGAAAACCTTAATTAGGCTGCAAGCCCCGGGGAACCTGGCCCTGCCCGGAATGCAGATTTGGATCGCTGCTGCGGTCTGCTTGGGGGAGATTGGACCCCGGAGGAAGAAGAGAAATCAAGTGTGTGCCCAGAAGGGAGAAAAGATGGCAAAACCAGCTAGCGACACGCACCACCCCAGCGCTATCGCTTAACCTAATTACTTCCAATCAGTGTCGTGTTTTATGCAAAGCAATCAGCTGGTGAACTTTGCTAATGAGTTCGATTTTATGCCGGATTTAGCCCTTATTACTATTTCAAAGGTGCTTCGGGCTAACGCGGGAAGGGAGCCTTAAGGGGATGCCAAAGAGAAAGAAGGCTTTCCCAAGTCACTGTCTTCTGTTACCCCTTCAACATTGGGCATTGATCACTTCTTTGGATTTGATTAAATTAGCGAACGCCCCATCCGCGACCATGCGGGTGGCGAGCAAGCCTCGTCGATGCCCCGCGCAGCCCTGGGGCTGGGGCCGCAGGACGGGCGAGGGGACGGTTCCCCCCTTTCACAGGTAGGTGTCACACTTGTCCTGAATTTCAAGCCTGCACTTTGCAGAGTCGGAGATTGGAGAGTGGGTGGAAGGGGGAGGAGGGAGCGCCACAGCCACTTGGGGGAAGCGAGAGGGGCCCCGAAAGGATCCAGAGATCGCTCCTCTCCACTGGCCTCATTTTAGACAAGGGACCCTCCAAATTTACCTAGATAACGAGACCATTACTCGATCAGATTTTATCACTGTCTCCAGCTCAGATTCAAGAGTACGAGTAGTTAACAAAAGTGTTTTCGAGGTTTTATTTTCTGGTTTTAATCCGCATATTTCATCTCAAAATGAAAAATCAGGATGCATCTCAATCTTAACCGAGGAAGACACACGCCCTGCGCCCGAGGCCGCCAACACAGTGGGCTCCGGCTTGGCTACGGTGTTCCACGTCTCCATTTTGCTTCCGAGAAACAGAGCAATCGACGTGTTTTACTTCGTGGGAAATGTTCGGTGGTCTGGGAAGGGTGGAGCTAGTACGGCAAAAACATAGCCCAGCTAGGGGAATTAGTATGCCCAATCAAATCCAAGTCTGAGTGTGGAGAACGTGTTTGCATATAACACCGTTTTAATTAAGCTAAATAAAAATGCGCATATTTGCATTTCTTTTCAAGATTATTTTAACCCTATCCCTTTTTAAAAAACACATCCCAAAGTTTCACCGGAGTTATTACTTTTGCTGTGTTTTGTTTTGTTTTGTTTTGAACCTGCTACGAAACTCCTTTAGCTTAGTCGGTTTTAAACAAGTTTGAAAGCTGCACTGTCCAGATGTTTTAGCAAACAGCGGTCGACTTTAGGGTTTAGATTAGTGAGAAAATTCACGCAGGGAAAATGGTTTCAAAGCTGGAAGTGTGAACGATTAAATATGCATGAGACGATCGTATTTTATTTTGTCCCTTTAATTATAAATGATTTTTTTAAACAATTGAATTCCAGAGATGACTTGCCCTCCCACACCCCCCCTCCGCGCCTTAGTCCCCTCCACTCCCCTCCCACCCGCCACAGCAGGGTTCACAATCAGCTCCCCCCACCCCTGTTGAATATGCAGCTTCAGGAGTCACCTTCTCTTCTAAAAACGTCGGATGAATAAGCCAATCCCCTTAAGAGAGAGTTTAAGGACGACATCTACTCGGCGGGGTTTTGGAAGCACTGGCCCTAAACCTTGCCCAACGATTTTAAAAAGAAAATTACAGGTCTCCCTGTGTTCCCGGGAATATGCAAATGGCGCGGCGCCGGCCTCCCTAGGCAGAAGGCGAAGGCTCGGGGCTGGGAGGCGAATGCCGGCGAAGCTGCCTGGGAACGGGAACCGCGCTCCCGGGCGCGCTCGGCGTTTCTTCCCAGCGAGGGGTGGCGCGAGGAGCCTCCCAGCGGGGGAGCGAAATCTCCTGGGGCTGGCCGACTGGTGCCCGAGCCATTGTCCCTGCCCGCACCCCTCCCGCCCTTGGCCTCTACAAGATCTATGGTTTTCTTTGCGTACTTCATCTTAAGCTCAAGCCCATTAAACCTGGTTTCTTTTTCTTTTCAGAGCTGGGTTTTGGTGGCCAGCGCTTTTTCTGGTATCTAGTTACTTTCCTGTTTGGAGGTGTCCTGCAGGGCACGTTCGGAGCATTTAGGATGTGTCTCCCGCGTGTAATCCCAGAAGGAGTTCGGTGTCTGTAGGGTCCCAAGTTCCTCCTCCAGCCTCCGCTTGGCCCTCCTAGGGCTGTCTAGGGGGCATTGCGTCTTAGAGGCGCTGGTGGAAAAACACCCCTCGTGAGTGGTGGGGTCAGGGTGTGTTTGCAGGCTTGGACCGGTGCGCGGAAGTTGCGCGAGGCAGCGCCTCATTCACCTCCGCTCTGGGGCTGCGAGCGTGCTTGCCACCTGCGCCTGGCAGCGCAGGTTTTGGACCCCAAGGAGAGCATGGCTTCGCGCATAGGGACTAGGAGGCGTGGAACTCCTATCTACAGGGGGTCATAGGATCACTGCGTGGGGTCTAAGCAGACTGTCCCCTGAGGCAGCGCCAAAGCAGAGATCCTCTGGGTGCCTGCCTGAGCCGTCTGTGCTGGGAAAATGAGTTCTCTGGATTTCAAAATTAGGAGGAGACAACCCAATTAACTCCCGAGGGTGCATACGCAGTCATTCAGAACCTATGGTAGGGTACCTTTCCCCTTCCTGTTCCTGGGCTCCGGGTACCAGTTCCTAAAATGTTGTTTCCTTAACCCGGGTGCTGGGCCTACAGCGAGGCCTGCTGGTTTGCAAACCTCTTGGGGCCGCTTATTCTCCCGTGACGTGCTCAGCTCCTGGGGCTTGGAAGGGTGAGGGGAGGGAGGGTCGTGTGTGCAGGGTGGGCACAAGCCGTGCCTGCCAGCCCTCGACTAGCTGCCAATTTAGGTGGAGTCACAGAGCAGCGCACTGCAAAGCGCCCAAAGTGAAAGAAGTGTGATTGCGCTTCCGAGAGGGAGCGGTAAGCGCATACGTTTAGGAAGGGCGCCGCCTACTGGTCCCCTGGAGCCACGCGGTTCGCAGGGCGGGGGGAGTTGGGCGAGACCTGTCGATGCCCCCACCCGCAGCAGAGCCTTCGCTCTAAACTGGGAACTTGGCAAACTTAGGTTGCTTCATCATCCCAACTCGCCGGAGCCCTGGACCTAGGACCCAGGACCCAGTTATCACTGCAGATCTGGGGAGCAGACCCCACAAGTAGAGCAACTGTAACCCTACCGATTCCTCACCGGGTAGGCACAGTTTCAAAAAACAGGCAATTAAGAGAGACGCAGGCAGTGGACGCAGCCCGTGGTGGGGGCCCTGGCGGTGCTCGGCCCGGGCGGTGCGCCCTCGCTTCGCCCTGATTCAGGTGCATGCACTTCCCCTGCTGTTGGCCTTTCCATATCCTCGGCTCCGGATCCCAAGCAGTTTTGGTTAATCTGCGGTTTGGTGTATAGGGGAGGCAGGTGCAGGGCGGTTATCAAGCAACCGCGCCCCTAAAGACCATTTGCTCTTCAGAGATTTGGCCTGTGGGGTGGACATCTATAGAAAAAGGGAAAACAAAACAAAACAAAACAAAACAAAAAAACCAACTACCTTCCCGTTGCTTCCAACCCTCCTATTTTGTATTTTGAAAGCACCTTTAATGAGGTCGGCGTGACAGAGCATACCGATGTTCACCCTGGCGTCGCCTAATCCCGCCAGAAGCGCCAACGGGTCTCATGAACTGGTCTCCCCCGGGTGCAGGTACTTTGGGAGAAGGCAAGAGGGTCCTCGGCCTGGCTCGTTCGCATCCTTCGCAGTTCTGCCACCGAAAAGGAGGGAAATCGGGCCCAACAGGGATCTTGCCGTCTGCCTTCCTCCAAAACTAGCCGGAGCTTCAGGACCGTTCCTAGACTCACCCTAAGGGTCTCCCTCTGAGACCAGACCAGAGCTTGTCTCCTTTTCGTTTTCGTGATAAATGCAACCTGGGTCTCGGTTACTAGGCGGGCCGGACTGTGGCCTAAGAGGAGATTGCCTCAGGGACCAGGCTGCAGCAGTGGCAGCACCCCCTGCGCTGGCCAGTCCCTCTGGGCTGCTGGGGGGTGTCGGGCCTCGTGTCCGCCACAGGCCGCAGCCCTGGGGTCCCAAGGCGGGCCGCCA